GTTATTTTAATAATTCATAAAATTCGGAGCATAAAATTTTCTGAGCGTAATGAAGGAAAAAAAAAAAATTAAAATCTAGAAGCATTCTTATTTTAAAGTTTTGTGTGTTACCTATATTTATTGAATATCATATTCTTCGCCCGTAAACCACATACATTTGAAAACAGCATATCTTTAGAATTTCTGCACTGGAGATAAAACTGTTATTTTCCGTATAGTGCTCGCTCTGAACTCGTTGAGTTTGTTAATCAAAATTTCCTTAAAGTTTTACAAAATATGAAATAGATTGAAACAAATTCAAAATTCGGCCGTCCAGATGCCTATGTTCGGGTGGAGGAATACATTATTCAAAATTTGATGGTTCTAGATACTGTCGTTTTTGTCACAGTGCGAGAAACATACATGTATTCATGCAGATTCTTCAATCAAGATAAAAAAAATATCCAGTCCTGAAAGCATGCAATAGCTTTATAATTATCTGGAATGTTAATTATGCTTGATAAATATGCTAAATTTTTACAAATCAATCTCAATTTCAAAAATAAAAATATGTAGAAATTCTAATTTGTGAAAGGAGGCGCTACAACCAGCTTTTTCTTGACAATTATACACGCTGCAATAGGCAACCAATGTTAAATTTCTGCAAGTCGTCCCTACTCCTCCGGATGTGATCAAGGTGACAGCCGGCAACGCCTCAGACGAGGGATAAAACCCGTTTGGGTTAGTCTATTTCTTATAAGGTCTATGTCACCCACGTGATGACTTAAGGACATTTATTGTTCATTAAGCCTCACCAGATGTCGCTGCATAACTTACGATGAGTCTCTGCACCTGCAAAATGGCTCTGCATTCCGAAGGGAAAAAAAAAGTGCAAGATCTTTCTTGTTAAATTATCCGACTAAATGCGGGGGGGGGGGGGAATACATTCAGCTTTAATATGTACTTGTTTCATTTCCGAGGAATTCTATGTTTTGAAAATGTGTGCTTAAGGTTACGTTTTCAATTAAACAACGATCTTCCAACGATTCTCCCCGCTCTTTGAGTAATGAAATCGATTGTCGAATAATGAAACTCTCAATTCTGTGTGAGATAATCAGTTTAGTCATGACTTGCATTTTTTAGCTTCGAGTCAATAAGACGAATATGTGCTCATATGTGTACAATGCAATAAATTCACAGAAAAAATATAAGCTTAGGATATCACATAAAGGCATTATTTTTGAGGCCTTGTTGACACTATTTCAAAATAAATCAAGTAATACGTTTTCAACTTGAGTTCTTTATTGGAAATAATGAAACAATGATAGATATAATTTAATAATATTGTTGCGTGCATACGGGTCCGTTATGGATTGAATGCACACCGAACCGATGATGGCTTGATAAAATTTATTTTACCAAAAGAAAAACTTTAGAGTTCTAAAACTTTCCGCAAAAATGCTTGTATAGCTCATTCAGCTCTGAGTTATCAGATGATGTGTCTGGTCTTATATAGTTTTCATCCGACTGCCTTGAAATCTCTAGTACCTTCCATTTCTTGAAATTACTGGAACTCATAAAGTTACCTCTAAGACCCCGGTCGGGCATATAAAGATCATTTAACGATTATTCAGTTACAGTATCAATTATCTATGCGGTGATGAAACAGAAACGTCGTCAAATCGTTGCCAATTTAGAGAGAAAGCCATTTAGTTAAGGTTAAATAGACTCGTCCCACTGTAATCTTAGTTTTTTCAGCAGAGCTTCGCGTCTCTTCCAAGCATTTCATGTTACATTATGCAAAAAATACTATAGGTTTACATATCATTTCACTAAAATTATTTACATATGTTCAAAATTCGTGACGATATGTTTGAGAATGGTAAATTTTATAATAGGGCTATAAAATAAATCCAACTTCACATTCACATGATAACATGAATAATTTTTTCTGAAAATAACGTACTTTTGCTTTTTTTTTCGTGCAGATATATAAACGAAGTTTTGCGGTGGGTGTTAGACTTATATTATTGTCATGGTTTACAGAGTGTCTCGTTCTCGTCATAAGATATTTTGTCTGTATTTGTTCGATTAGTTTGAAAGAATTGTGCATCGTGCCATGGATATGGTGCACCGTTTTTCAGTTTATATGGGAAAAGCAGACTTCCATAGGCACGTACATATTATATGAAAAAATATATTTCTTAAACCATTTTTATATTACGTTTTGATCCAATTATGCCAATGCGAAGCATTTAGTGGATGTCAGATATAATTGGTGCCAATCAGTTAATGGATGCCGGATATAACTGGTAGAGTCGTGAAAGAGTTAAAATTGAGAGACAAATTTGCGCAGCTTTTGTACAAAATTTCCCTTATAAGAGTTGAGTTCAACTCTAACCTATCATCTTTACTCTTGTCACAGTGTTTGCTCAAACTGGAAATGTATATAAATTTAATGGCAAGCAGCAAAGTTTAAAAATAGGTGATTAATCATGATTGCAAATTTATTGGAGCTTGCGATATGTTGCTGCTGTTTTGACCGAGTACATCTTCCTGTTATATTGTGAATTATTATAGAGTTAATATTGCTAAGTTTTGTTGTATAAATCAGTTTGAGTTTATCAGCCAGGCAAGCCGCTTCCTCTTGTACAATGAGAAGACATCGTTTTAGTTTGCATTATCATTTTAAGTATGTAAAACGACCAAAAATGGTTAATAAAGATAAATTTGATATTAAATTTGGATTTATATGTTGTGTTAACAATTATACAGCTGCAAAGGCGATAACTCGCCTTTGTTGCATGTTACGAATTTGGTATTTAAAAAGCTAATGTTAGTTCAATTATAAATTAAATGGTTTTATATGTTGGATTTATATGTTGTGTTAACAATTATACAGCTGCAAAGGCGATAACTCGCCTTTGTTGCATGTTACGAATTTGGTATTTAAAAAGCTAATGTTAGTTCAATTATAAATTAAATGGTTTTATTTCTCGCGCAGTGCAGTGCGTGACGAATATTAAAAGAAAGCTAAGCCGGAAAATTGAAAATACAAGAGCGCGTGCATTAAATAAATAAATATCTCTTTTTGATTTCGAGAAAGTACTGGAAAATTCTAGCGCGTGATTTTAAAATCTTATAAAAGGAGGAAAACATCTCAGTTTGTGGTAGTTGCTTAGTTTGTTGTTGTTTAGAACAGGGGTCTCCAAACTACGGCCCGAGGGCCACATCCGGCCCGCGGACAGATTTTGTCCGGCCCGCGGAGAGCTAGCATACTTGAAAACTCCTTTTAGAGAACATATTTTTTATAGCAAATTAAATTTAGTTTACTGAAGTATTCTAATTTTATGTTGAATAATTATTAATATGACATCTACATTGATATGGTCATGGGCTAACTACTCATAACATTGTTGTAGGCTTATTGTTATTGTTTTTGTGATAAGTTGGATAAAGAAACACAGAATTGTAATGAGTGAAAACATGTATAATATGCAGAAAATTTAACTTCAGTATATAATAACTAACAAATTATTGAAATGAATCCAACTAACATTTTATACATTTTAAATAAAAACATAACTTATAACAAGCATATGAAACATAACATATGAAATACTAATGAGATTTATGTAATTGAGCCTTTCCACTGACAATAGTTTGTAGTTGTGGACTCATTTTACTTGTACCAATTATTAAATGAGATTTAAGATGCTCATCAGTTAATTTAGATTTGTAAACATTTTTTGTGTACTTCATTTTGGAGAAGGTCTTCTCACACAATTAAGTAGTACCAAAAACAGAAAAACAGCCCACGAGCAAATTTATGCAAATTATCAAATTGTGTCAGTGGAAACTTATAAATTCCAACAAAGATGAGTTTTTGATATTTGTTCCTAATTATATCACTGCACTGTAGATCAATCATTTCCATTTGAAGTTCCGGGGCTAGGGTTTCAATGTCAGTATCAAAAGGATTCTGAAAAATCTAATTTGATTCGCAATGGCATCAAAGTCCGAGAAACGAGTATCAAAATTTATTTTCAAAGCACTCAAAGTTTTCGATTGCAAAATCGATAGGAAACTCAGTCTCAGTGGTGTGGCTGAATATTTCACATGTTTTAAAAATGTGAAAAACATTTTACTTTCGTAGTTGTGATTGAAACAGTATCAATTTCTTCCGGAATGATTTGATATTAGTGTATAAATCAGGAAGATGCTGTTTTCTCCTTGCAATCTCAAATTCTGTTCGTTCACATGTTTTTGTCAAATCAACATAGAATGCTAACTTCCACAGCCATGCGTTGTTTTGTAATTCAGTAAGAGGGCGATGCTTTTCATTTCAAAAAAAATTTCGATCACTGTTCGAAGTTCAAAAAAGCACTGAAGGACTTTTCCCACAACTAAGCCAACGTACGGCAGTATGATAAGGTAAAGTCATTTTCCCAATCTCTTCAATAAATTGTCGGAATTGTCGGTGATTCAGCCCAAAAGATCTGATAAAATTAACAGTTGATATGACTGGTTTCAATCAGAACTTCAGACATATCCAAACATTTTCCACACAAAGACTGTTGATAAATGATACAATGTAAGACTAATGGTTTTGAACCACCGTCATTTTCTACAGCATCCTTTGACACAAGAGCGACCACTCCTTTATCTTTCCCACTCAGGTTTTTGCCTCCATCAGTTGTAATACATTTCAAGTTTTTCCATCGAAGGTTCTTTTGATTAATGGCCATTTCAACTCCTTTAAAAATATCTGTACCAGTAGTTGTGCCATGAATACTATACATATCAAGAAGTTCTTCATGCACTTCATAGCTTTTATCTACTCCTCGAATATAAATCAACATCTGAGCAGTATCTGACACATCCGTTGACTCATCCAAGGCCAAAGAAAACCACTCAACATGTCCATTTTTGTCGAACAGTTGAGAGATATATTTTCAGCGATGTTTTTCTACCCTTCGAGCCACAGTGTTTGCTGACATACTGACAGTTTTTTAATAAATTTACCTTTTCATTTCAGGGCATATTTCTTCGGCTACTGCAATTATGCATTCTTTGATCATTTCTCCATCGGTGAATGGTTTTCCACGTTTTGCAATTTCAAGAGCCACACGAAAGCTGGCACGAGTTGCAGCCTCTTGTTCAGTTTTGAGTTTTGTAAATGAAGATTGCTGCGATTTCAATCCGCGCTTCGTAGCTTCGAATTTTTCTGTCCGCAAACTTCCTGTATATTTTGAGTAATTTTGAAAATTTTTTGTTTCATAATGACGTTTAATGTTATATTCTTTGAGAACGGCTATGCTTTCATTGCAAATCGAACATAGCGCCTTGTTACTGGACTCAATTACGAAATACTGAATGTTCCACTGATCTTTGAATTTTCTTTCTGCATTCACTACAATTTTTCGCTTCTTTTCCATACTACTAAATCATGCACAAAAGCAACAATTCAAATCAAAATACTGTTCCAAAAGATGTCTTAAACACGCACAAACACGTTTTAAGGAGGTACGCACTATTTTATTTCACAACAGTGTCATAGGAGACTTCTGTACGTGCTATTAGCGCCATCTGTTAGCGATAGAAGGTACTAATATTTCCCGCTTGTGTCCACCAGATGTCGTGTCACGTTACTCCTCATGGCTCGTACTCTAACGACTAATCTAGAAATTACAGATAATGACAGGAAAATTAATAAAACGTTGCGTACTTTTCGGACTTTTTTTTTTCATCAGTGGACTATTTCACTTTTTTACCACCGGCAACAATGATAATATGGTTTTGGCCCTCGGAACTTACTGGAGTAATCAGTATGGCCCTAAGGCTGGAAAGTTTGGAGACCCCTGGTTTAGAAAACTGCTCTTGTTGATTGTAGCGAATTCGGGGATTAGCTTTCTTTAGCTGTTTTGAATTACGTTCTATTGGACATTTGAGTAGTTAAAAGATAACTACTGTGAGATATTGTAATACTGCATGATAATTTGAGAAAATTTAAGCATTTTTTGTTGTGATAATAATAAATTTTTGTTCATTTTTCATCGGACTTGTGCATTCATTTCATAACGAACCCGTACGCGCGCAACAATTTTTGGTGACAGATGTGGGATATTCTATGATGCCGTAGCGGAAATCTCTGTTTTCGGCTATAGATCCAGGGATTAAAATTTCTGTTCTTGCCGATATTGTGATATTGTCTTGTGCTATGATTCTGTGGACAGATTTAACTTCTTCATTATTAATTCCAAATAACGTTATGTCCTCAGATGTAGAATGCAATTCGTTATTTTTAAAGTCCAAGGAAAAATTGTATTTCCTTAGAAAGTCCAATCCGAGTATGCAAGAATCAGTGATCTCTGCTACATATGCCGTGTGATGGTAAGCGGCACTTCCAAACGTGATGTTAACATTTACTTTCCCATTGATGTCGATCTTCTCACCGGACACAGTCTGTAGGGTAACGCAGGGGCGTCCAGATAAGTTTGCTTTCCAGTTGTTGAGCCAAATCATTTCGGATGATGGTAACGTTGGCTCCTGTGTCTATCGTCATATTGCAGGGGACTCCGTTAATATGTCCTATTATGAAAAGTCCATTACTGCCTCCTCTCACTGCAGAAATCTGAAGCGCTTTAAACTGGGGCTTTTCATTATCTGGCAACCTCCGCCCCGCGAGATGGCCACTAATTAGTTTCCCTGCTGCTTGTTAGAAGCGGTCTTAACATCCGTACCCTGGGGTATTCTGCAGTTTCGTCGTATGTGTCCTTCAGCACCGCAGTTCCAGCACTTAACGGTCGGTTTCTTCTTACCAATATTCCGTCTCAAGGCGTTCAGTTGTCTAGTTAAATCGTCTAGACGAGCGTTGACTTCATCCCCTGGCTCCTGGACTTGAGCAGCTCTGACTGGGTGGCGGTCTCGACGAGTGGCTTGCTGGGCTGCCTCGAATTTCATGGCGTACACTAGAGCGCTTTTTAAATCTTTTACATCCGCCATTCGTAGAGCTTTTTGTATTTCAGTATCCCGGATGCCGTCGATAAAGTATTGCAAGGACAGGATTTCCCTTGTTTTTGCCGGGCATTCCGAAAAGGCGAGATGGGACAGCCTTTCAACATCCGTGGCGAGCTCCTGAAGTGTTTCGGTAGGATTCTGTTGACGAGATTTTAGTTGGAGCCTGCTGTAGTCTTTTAAACACTTCTCTCCAAAGCGCAGCTCCAAGGCGCCGGACAGAACTTCGAAATCTAACCTTTTGTTTTCGGGAAGAGTCTGAAGGATATCCGCTGCGTCGGCTCTTAAAGAAGCGGCGAGATGACAGACCTTAGCTTGGGAATCCCATCCATTCGCATCCATCCGCAACGATAGAAAACTGGCAACGAAAAACTGGGTCTTGTACACTTGCCAGGATGTCTTCCCATCATATGTGGATAGCTTCAGAAATGGACGAGCAGGCATCGGTAAGAATTTAAAATCATCATTCTTGCTCCCTGCCGTCGCTACGAATTTCTTTAAAGTTTCCATTTCTTTGGCAACTGCAGAAACTCTCTCATCAATTTGTTGTTCGACTTGATGTTGGACGGCACAAACTCTTCCTTCAGTTCGTTCCTCCAAGCCGAAACTCTCCCTTCTATATGTTCTTTTACAGAAGAAACTTTTTTTTCTATTTCTTCTTTCACCGAAGAAACTCTTTCTTCAATTGATCTTTTACGAAAGAAACTTTTTCTTCAATTTGTCCAACTTTATTTTCAACTGTGTCAATTCTGCTTTCCATAGCTTCAAATTTATTTTAGCTTTAACATTTTCAATTGTGTCACTGGGTTCAACTTCTAGGGTGATTGTCTTCCCAGTAAGAGTTTTAACGAAGATCTGCATACCTCCTCGAAGCCTTAGGACAAGATGCAGTGTTGATTCTTTTTGGATGTTATAATCTGACAATGTACGTCCATCTTCCAACTGTTTACCAGCAAATATAAGCCTTTGCTGATCAGGTGGAATGCCCTCCTTGTCTTGGATTTTTGCTTTGACATTTTCTATCGTATCACTGGGCTCAACTTCCAATGTTATGGTCTTTCCAGTAAGAGTTTTAACAAAAATCTGCATACCGCCTCTCAGTCGCATAACTAAGTGCAGGGTAGATTCTTTCTGAATATTATAATCCGAGAGTGTACGCCCATCCTCCAACTGTTTTCCAGCAAAGATAAGTCGCTGTTGATCAGGAGGAATTCCTTCTTTGTCTTGAATTTTGGCTTTTACGTTTTCAATTGTATCACTGGGTTCTACCTCCAAAGTGATGGTCTTTCCGGTTAGAGTCTTGACAAATATCTGCATACCACCACGCAACCTGAGGACTAAATGAAGAGTGGATTCCTTCTGAATGTTATAATCGGACAAGGTTCGACCATCTTCCAATTGCTTTCCTGCAAATATTAGCCTCTGTTGGTCAGGAGGAATTCCTTCCTTGTCTTGGATCTTGGCTTTTACATTTTCAATGGTATCACTTGGCTCCACCTCCAAAGTGATGGTTTTTCCAGTAAGTGTTTTTACAAAGATCTGCATCTTGCTCAGTTAGAGTCTTCACAAATATTTGCATGCCACCTCTCAGCCTCAAGACATGGTGTGGTTGTGGAATCCGACTCGACGGAAAGGACTTTGTACGAAATTACAGTCACCTTGGGATGGCCCGTACACAGTCCTAAACAGGCTGAATGACGTCGTGGTTCGGATTCGTAAGTCTTCGAACTCTAAACCTAAAGTCGTTCATTACGACAGGTTAGCACATTACTATGGCCATAGTACATAATGTAAATAATTGTAAATAGTATAAGACCATGATCCATTTTGTTTTAAATGTGTATTTGATTTGATTTGTATTTAGTATTTGATTTGCATTTAGTATTTGATAGCATTTGATTTGTTTAAGTTAGTTATTGCATTTATTGTTTATATTGTTTGATATTGTAATGTAATGTTTATGCCTCAGTTGCATTTATGCCACAGTTGTAAGTTTAGCTTCCTGTCCAGGGATTGTACTGCCCGGGACGTGCAGTCCTTGGAAAGGGGGCAGTGTTACGAATTTGGTATTTAAAAAGCTAATGTTAGTTCAAGTATAAATTAAATGGTTTTATTTCTCGCGCAGTGCAGCGCGTGACGAACATTAAAAGAAAGCTAAGCCGGAAAATTGAAAATACAATAGCGCTTGCATTAAATAAATAAATATCTCTTTTTGATTTCGAGAAAGTACTGGAAAATTCTAGCGCGTGATTTTAAAATCTTATAAAAGGAGGAAAACATATCAGTTTGTGGTAGTTGCTTAGTTTGTTGTTGTTTAGAAAACTGCTCTTGTTGATTGTAGCGAATTCGGGGATTAGCTTTCTTTAGCTGTTTTGAATTACGTTCTATTGGACATTTGAGTAGTTAAAAGATAACTACTGTGAGATATTGTAATACTGCATGATAATTTGAGAAAATTTAAGCATTTTTGTTGTGATAATAATAAATTTTTGTTCATTTTTCATCGGACTTGTGCATTCATTTCATAACGAACCCGTACGCACGCAACAATATGTTGTGTTAACAATTATACAGCTGCAAAGGCGATAACTCGCCTTTGTTGCATGTTGTTAACACCGTGATTCGCATGTTGTTAACACCGTGATGGTAACACCGTGATTGTAAGCATGTTGTTAACACCGTGATTCGCTGTTAGGTTAGACCAAGGATCAACAATGCGGTGCCCGCGAAGCAATTTTAAAGTGCCTGCCATTCAAATATTTGAATTCCAAATTTTATACATTTGGACAACAAATACTGGTAATCGTAATGAGTAATTTTAATAAAAATTTGTACTTTACCTTCGACAATTTAACAATTGTTTAACAATTAAACATTTGTCAAAAACTTAACACTATTAGCGACATCTAGGTAACACTACAGGAGTAGATGAATCAGTTTTCGACTGCTAGAAACATCTAATTCCACGCACAGTGAACTATTGTCCGTTTCCATTATCCTCGTGCACTCTATAAAATAATTTACAGTAACTAACGCTACGCTTTACGTTCTGTACACTAACTAATACTACACTTTATGTCCGAAACCTCTGTTTGTACGTAAACTTCCATTTCATGAATTTGTATTTCGAGCTGTAAACATAGTACGCAATTCTTTTCTTCGGATTAAAAGATAACGAAAGGTTACAGACAACACTGCTTTTTCAGTGATTGGTACTGGGAAAATCAGTTCAGGTTAGCTGATTAATGTATATTAGCAACTTATTTCATTTGCACAATAATAACAATGTGAAGTTTTCTTGCTTGACTAACAACATTTCTGAACAACGACGTGTATGCATAACAATATTTATGAACGTGAACAACAACATATTCTGATAAACGGTTTCGCAACAGAAAAAAAAAAAAAAATATTATAGCGTAATTTTGACGATCTCTATAAATTAATTTTACTTTGATATAATTATACCGGGTGATCAAAAAGTCAGTATAAATTTGAAAACTTAATAAATCACGGAATAATGTAGATAGAGAGGTAAAAATTGACACACATACTTAGAATGACATGGGGTTTTATTAGAACAAAAAAAAAAAAAAAAAGTTAAAAACGTTTTCTGTTATCGGGCCTTTTTTCTTCGAGGAAATGCGTGATTCTGGTTTTGTAACTGCTACCGTGACGGGTAAGAGGTACGCCGATATGTTACAGAATCGCATCGTCCCCAGCCTGGCTGATAAACACCTGCTGGAACGTACGATTTTTATGCAGGATGGCGCTCCACCCCATATTGCTAGACGCGTGAAAGATATCTTGCGCGTGTCGTTTGGTGATGATCGTGTGCTCAGCCGCTACTTTCGTCATGCTTGGCCTCCCAGGTCCGCAGACCTCAGTCCGTGCGATTATTGGCTTTGGGGTTACCTGAAGTCGCAAGTGTATCGTGATCGACCGACATCTCTAGGGATACTGAAAGACAACATCCGACGCCAATGCCTCACCATAACTCCGGACATTCTTTACAGTGCTGTTCACAACATTATTCCTCGACTACAGCTATTGTTGAGGAATGATGGTGAATATATTGAGCATTTCCTGTAAAGAGCATAATCTTTGCTTTGTCTTAATTTGTTATGCTAATTATTGCTTTTCTGATCATATTATTGCTTTTCTAATTATTGCTTTTCTAATAAAACCCCTTGTCATTCTAAGTATGTGTGTCAATTTTTACCTCTCTATCTACATTATTCGATGATTTATTAAGTTTTCAAATTTATACTGACTTTTTGATCACCCGGTATATTCATTATTATTATTACTATTAGCCCAAAGGAGCGTTAGATCAGAAGGGCTATTAGTCTCAAAACGCCATTTTGTAACGTTTTAAATTGTTGCTACCAAATGTTACAGCCCTGTATTATATTTAAAGAAAATTAAATAATAAAGAATCTGCATGAATGGATATTGTGATAAAACAAAGGTACCTAGAGCCATAAAATTTTGAGTAACGTACGTCTCCACCCGAATATGGGCATCTGGAAGCCCAAATTTGGGATTTGATTTATTATCTGTTTCATATTTTATAAAACATTAACGAAGTTTGGTTAACAAACTCAACGATTTCAGCGCAAGCAGTGGCAACACTATATAACCAAAAAAAAAAAAAAAATTATCTCCAGCGCGCGTGTCTGTGTATCTGAAATTCTAAAGATATAGTGTTTTTTTTTTTAAATATTTTGTGACATTGCTGTTGAATTTTATGTACTTTAAGAGCAAAAAACACGATATTTAATAAATAAAGGAAACACACAAAATGTTAAAAAAACCTCTTTGGGCGTAATGTAAAATATGAAAGCATTCAGATCTTATTATTATTTTTTTTTAAATTTAAATTTTATTATTATTGTAGCCTCGTACGACTGAATTCCTGCACTTCTAAAATAAGCCTTTCTAGTAAAAAATGTAGCAGAACCCTGGGTTAGACGATCAGTTTTACATTGATTTCACACAATGGAAGTTACGAATTCACTCTTTTTTTCTCATCCCCGTCTTCCAAATTTACATTTTGTGAGGGCTGAACTGAAATTATTCCTAAACGCATTAATTGATAGATTAATCAGTCGCACTAATCTCCATATTCAGGCAATCATGGTACTGATTATTTTTGTCCCTCCCCTTCCCCCCAAAAAAGGGAGCTCATCCAGATGCATAGAATTGAAATAATTCGATATAAATTTGAAGTTTACCTTTTTTTAAATTTCCATATGGCGTTCTTCTCTGCTACATGTTTTTATCATTTGCATGAACTGGATTGTGATTCAGTGCATTTTACTGAGTTTTGAACGCATTTCACTGAGTTTTCACTGAGTAAAATGCCTTTCAAACTCAAATCAAAATGTTAAGTGCCCAACTCAAACCTTAAATGTCGTTTAAGTACATACTATAACTGAACATATGTTTCCTAAAAATTTATGATTCCCTAAGCTCCTTAATATTACTATTTCAGATGGCATACCACTTCATATCTATCAGCAGAACGACACCAGGTACAGTACTATAGATAATCCCGACGGGTTTCTTAACTCCATTTTTGTGATTCATGATGTAAGGTATGGAGATAATCACAAGGTCACATGCGCAGCGGATAACATGGAAGGTTCAGCAAAGACGTCAGTCAAGCTAGCCGTCAGAAGTAAGACCTTATTATTAGGAAAATCCCTTTTAAAGTAAGATTAGTTATAATATGTTTTTTATATGTTTCCTAGTAGCCGAAAGCCTCCAAGATTTAATCTGTCAGAAGCATAATTTCTTTCTTTAAACTAAAAACTTGTCGGTTGAGTTGGTATCTCTGTGATGCGCGTATTGTGAGATTCCGATAATAGGCTTTAAATATTTAATAGAAACGATATCTAAAACAATATCTATGCTGTATTTATATATACTGCTGCACCGAATCCATTACGAATCATTTGGACGGGAAACCAAAATTTTTAAACACAGTTAATAAATGAATGGTTAAAAGAGAATGTTTTCAAACTTACTTTATCTTACGCACATCGTGCTATCACGTGCTGAAAGTGCTCCTGCCATCCTTCAGGTCCAGTTAATTAGGCTTTGCAAGTTTTGCCAATTTTGCAGTAATTTTGTTTTTTAGAGGTTGTGAAATACCGATTGTTAGGCGATTTGTAATTGGCATAGGGGTATTTGCAGCAAGACTGCATGGGGTCCCACGTACAATGTTGAACTTTATAGAATCATTAGGATTTTTATGAGAAGGAATCTTTAAAAAGTTGAGCTTGTAGGAATCAAACTCAAGACCTTCCATTTATACAGCTGGATGTACCGATGACTACATCACAAGAACATATATGAAATATTCCTGTAACTCGTTTCTAGTTGATATAAGATTAGGGGGAAGTTTTTAGCTGCTTAAGTTTCAAGAATATGAAGTCCCTCTTTCTTTTTTAAGCCCCACTTTCCATTGTGTAAGAAAGAGTCTTTCGTAACAAGCTGTTTATATCTTAAGATTTTAAAAAGGAAATTGCCGATGTGATCACGTGTACCGAAGGGATAACAATGCTC